AGGATTCTGGGTTTTATTTATTTCTCTACTTCTTATTTCCCGTATCCTTTGTGATTGACTAGTGTGTCGAGATGTCAGCAGCGTATGTTTATGAAGGTCTGATTAGTGGATTTTTTGCTAGTTTAGAAGGATTTCATCACCGCTGAGAAATAATTGCATTTACTTGGCTAGCTTTTCATAACGAAAAATGGCCACCCAACAAGTGATCTATTCAATCAGAATTAGCCTGGTTTCTAATCCCCACTTATTCACTAAATTCTTCCACCTCATTCTATAACCCGAACTTCATGGTACTTTTAGTTCTCTAATTTTGCGTGGGCGCTCGTATCGGCCTTAGTTTTTCCGCCTAATAAAAGAATTTAAGCTATTTCTACATAGCCACGTCATCCTCGCTAGGTGTTTAAATTTCAATATCCTGGTATCGTGACTGCCACTAATGTTCCTGACAGCAATTCTGTTTCACCAGAAACTGATATTTTGATGTAGAAACCGTAATTTTAAGAAAGTGGAAGTCGCTAACAGTGCTCATATAAATCAACGGTGCTGGGAACATACATTATTTGATGACTTTGATTTAAAATTGATAGTGTCGGATTGAAATTCAATATTAGTATTTGAATATCTACAACAGAAGTCTGTGGAAAAAGTTGTACTCTTTGTTAATCCGAATTATGTCGTCCCCGTTTGGTTATTTGTCGTTTTTGTTTTCATTATTACTTCTGCTTTTGTTATCGCTATATTCTTTTTTTTCTTTTTTTTTTGATTAGGGCACTTCCGGGGTATTTTTTTCCTCTGTCAAAATGCTCTACTCACTCTTCTGATCACTTTTGCTGTAAGACTTTTGAAAAACCTAATAGAATGATTCATTAGTGAATTAGGTGAAAACGAACATTTTTATTTGATTCATATGGACAGTCATATTCAATTTTTTTTCTTTAATGCCATCAACTAGCACTAAGTCAAACGAATATTTAAAAGTTACTGCGGCTGGATATGCCATATAAGTTTGTTGCAATATTTTGTATTTACCATTCATTCTTTTGTGAGGGATTCTATTTTCGGCTTCCCCCACTCATTGTTGTTTTCAAAAAAATCCACCTATTTTTGCCATACTTTCTAAAAACAACAGTTTGCAGCTTGCCTTTCTTCTTCTCATAATTTTGAAAATGAGCCGTTTCTGCAAAAAAGTTATATAGTGGATATGAGGCTTCTTTGCATTTACGACTTGAACAAGGAATCTGGACCCATCAGTTTAAACAGATTGCGACACTTTTGATTGCAGGAGCGTCAGTAGACGATTATAACTGCAGGTAAATGATGAAGCAGAAGTGTACGCGGTTACGAAGCAACGCTCTGTTTGCCATTGTAACCGCCACTAACTAGCGTCTGCTTTGCCGGGAATGTTAAAGTACGGAAGATGCTTGTAAACTAACTGCCTAGTCGGTGTTTTCCAATTTTTTTTTTGGACCACTTTACTCCTTAAAAGAAAAATTCTGCTGTTGCTCTTGGTACCCTCTGCTTCTTTAGGGTCGACAACCTTACTGCTTAAGTTTTTAGGGAATGTTGACTAAGCTGACTGAAAAGTAGTCAGTTTGCTTGCTGAGTAACCAGAAACTTGAAGAATTTCATCTATCAAGTTCTGGATTGCTCTAATTTAGGGAGCATTAAATATTGCTCATTGCCCATCGACGAGAAAAATGCTCGTTTTGCCATTGCCATAATAAATTTTACAAACTACAACGGACAATTGTTGTAGGTTCAACAAACAGGTTACCTGACAGGAATTCTTCTAAGCATAAATCATTTTCGAAAGTCGCTGAGATGAACGAACAGTGATGACGAAGTACCGACAGATTCTCTGGCTGTTGCAGGAAGTCTAGTATAGGGTGCCGTTGAAGAAGTAACGGAAGCTATGGTTACTGCCTGGAATTGACTAATTTTGCAATTATATTTCTACCGTTCGACATTGTGGAGGAATACTTTTTTGATAGCGGAATTCGTGCATTTCTCGCATTGATCCTTCACTGAAATCTGCGGCTACAGTTCATCTAGAAAGCTGTCTCCTGAGTAGTGCTTTGTGCTAGTTGTTGAAGAATGAGACAGTACAAAAGGGTGACTGTTAGTGCAAATCTGTTTATATCCCAGTTTTACGAAAAAATGAAGAAGAAAAAGAGAGCAGACAAAGGAGAACTATAAAATAGCTAAGTCGGGGTGAATTTTCGCTACTTCCTGATTCGCCTGATAGCAGATGACTTACCTTGGACAGCAAAAAATTGCAGCGTTTCTCTTTTTTTTCTCGCCATGCAAAAGAAACGTGTATGTGCCTCGAAAATTTTTTGGTATTACAGTGTGGTCTTACATTGGAGAAAAGCATTTAGAAACACTGCAGCATGAGCAAGGGGAATCTGAAACTTTACATGGCACTACCATACAGCACTTCTTTACAGGAGCACCGCCGCTACGTTTCACGTTTACCAGAGAAAAAAAGGGAAGGAAAGCCATATATGGAGAATTTTGAGGCATTTGGGTTACGGTTCAATAACTTAAATGAGGAGGAAAAGTAGTTGGAATTTTTTGGGACCGTATTTGTCGTCTTCGTGTTTCTTTGTTGCGTTTCTGTTGTGCATATTTCTTCTACTTAGCTTTTTTTTTCTTTTTTGAGAAATATTCTCACTTG